AACGAGGTGGTGCCCAATTGTAGAATTGCAAATAAAAGCCAGTTGAGATTTGCAAACTAATTTTGCTGTAATTTTTTCTTTTGACTGTGGTGAATTGGCGAACGACTCCGCCCAAGGCGCTTGCAGCCGTGTGCAGCTGGCGAGCCCACGCCGCGCCCCCCAGCCCTTCCCACGCTGGGCTCGTGCGCGGAGGCCCCTGCGCGCGCCCGGCTCGGCCCTAAAGACCTCACAAGCGTCGTCTCATCGACTCTTCTATGAGCGGGCACCCTTTACGGCCCCAGTTGAGAGGAAACTGAGGCACAGCGAGGTGACTCTGAATCAGACGGCTCAGTGGCAGGACCGGGGCTTTGCTACTTCGCTTCCAGTGGCATAGTGGGCGAGAAAGTGATTTGCAAACTTGGAAGCCCCTTTCTAAGCCAAGAAAATTGTTGCTGGATTTGCTGGATTTGTTTTCTCCCCCTCCCGACAAGCTTTGGAAAGGATCGCTGCGAGAATACATGGGACGCTGCAGGCCCTTCCCTGCTCTGTCAGCGACCCAGGGAGACCGCGAGTCTCTCTGAGCCTCAGTTTCCCTGCTGCGGGAAGAGAGGCGCTAAGGTCCCGCCCAGCTTGGGCTGCCGCTGTGACTGACGGTGCTCGGCTCCAATCAGGGCCGGAAAAGCGCTGGGAGTCCTGAGGCTGGAGTTTTGCTGCCACCTGGTGGCTAGAAGGGGAAGTGGCTCCTGGAGAGAGGGAAGGAGGGGCAGACTGGGTCAGGTGAGACCAGGAGGAAGGAGCTGTCCAGGTGAGGGGAGCAGAGTGGGGAGGGACGGACAGAGCACATCCCCAGCCGTGAGGGAGAAAGAGGGAGAGAGACAGACAGAGAGACACACACAGAGACACACAGAGAGCCACACAGAGACAGAGATGAGACGGAGAGACAGAGAGATAGGGAGAGACAGACAGAGGGAGATAGAGACAAAGAGAAATAAAGACAGAGAGAGATCGAGAGAGACAGAAAGAGAGAGACAGATGAGACAGGGAGACACAGAGGGAGACAGACACAGACAGAGATGAGACAGAGAGACAGGGAGAGAAAGAAAGAGAGACAGAGACAAAGAGATACAGATACGGACAGAGGCAGAGAGAGAGGGGGAGAGCCAGAGATACAGAGACGGACATGAGAGACAGAGACAGAAACAGAAAGAAAAAGTGAGGGACAAAGAGAGATGGAGCGATGGCGAAAGGGACCGCGGATGAAATGAGAGACACAGGAGAGGAAAGAGGGAGGCGGAGAGAGGGAGACAGAAAGTGAGAGAAGGAAGGCAGGGGTGTAGATGGAGACAGCACAGGGCACAGGGAGACAGAGAGAGGAGGAGGAGAGATCAGGAAAGAAGAGGAGATAGAGGTAAAGAGAGAAACAGAGATGGAGAAACAGGGAGGGAGAGAGAAACGGGGAAACAGAGACACAGAGAGATGTGGGCAAGTGAGAGTGACTTTAGGCGGTTGTCAAGCCCAGCCCTGGGAGAGCGCAGAGCTGCCCAGGGTCACATGGACCCAGGCCCTGTGAAAGCCCATTGCTGGCGTCTCCCTTCCCTCTATGGCAGATTGCATTTTGTCAAGATGGCCACCATAACATACCTCATCCAATGCATTGACCTCCCTCCCATTGACTGATGGCAATTTCATCTCCTCCCCTTGAACCTGAGTCCACCTATGTGACAGCCACCTCTCACAACAGAGTAATGAGGAAGTGATGCTGTGTGATTTTCTGAAGCTAGGTCATAAAAATGTCACACAGCTTCCATCTTTCTCTTGGGACACTCGCTCTTAGAACACTGCCGCCATGCTGTGGGGAAGCCTAAGAGCCACATGGAGTGCCATCTGTCCGTATCCAGTATAACAGCCCCAGCTGAGGTCTCAACCCATACCTTCAACATCCAACCACATGGCTCACTCCCGGCCTTTGAGCCACCCTTGATGACAGCAGAGATGAGCTGTCCTGGGTCCGGCCCAAATTACAAGCTTGCGAGCAAAATAAATGACTGTTGCAGTTTTACGACTAAGTTTGGGGTAGGGTGTCATGTAGCTATAGACTGTTGGAACCCCTCTTGGTGTCACCTACCAGACACACATACCAGCATTGTCACCCTTCCCCATTCTCTCAAGACCATACACTTAGCCAACCCTCTGAAGTTTCCACGCCCTAAAGTTTCCACCAGGCCTGGAGCACTGGAACGCACCAGGCTCTCTTTTTCACTTCCCCAACCTACCAAGATTCTTGTTCTCCCCGAGGTTCACCTGGAAAATTCCACCTCATCTTTCAACACCCCACTTCTTTGGGAAGCCTACCTTGACTGGCCCAGGAAGGATCCCCTTCCTTCTCCTGGAGTCCCTCGCTCCATCACTGTGTGAGATTGCTAGGGCCGCGATAACAAAGAACCACAGACCACGTGGCTCATGCCACAAAAATGTATGGTCTCACAGTTCTGGAGACTAAACATCCAAGGCCAAGGTGTTGGTACGGTTGGTTCTGTTTGAGGGCTGTGAGGGAGAATCTGTTCCATGCCTTTGTCCTAGTTTCTGGTGGTTTGATGGCAATTTTTGAATTTTTGGTGCTCCTTGGCCTGTAGAAGCATCCCCTGATCTTCGTCTTCACATGGTATTCTCTGTGTGTTTGTGTGTGTGTCTTCCAAATTTTCCCTTTTCATAAGGACACCAGTCCTATTGGATTAGGGAACCACCCTATTACAGTATGACCTAATCTTAATTTAGCTAATTACATCTGCAACAACCCACTTTTCAAATAAGGTCACACTCTGAGGTACTGGGGGCTAGGGTTTCAACACATGAATTTGGGGGCGGGAGTACACAATTCAGCTCATAATAATCACTATGGCTCTTCTCTCAAGCTATTACAACATCCCCCATGTGGAAGCTTCCTGGGGGCAGAGGCTTTGTCTTACTTTGTATCCCCTACTTTGCCCAGAAGTAAAACAGGCACCCAATAAGCCTTGGTGGAAAAATGAATAAACAGATGAAAGATAGTAACATTTACTGAGCATTGATTAGTTCCCACCTTCATGGTAATCATTTTAACAGCTTTAGCTTATTCAACAAGGCTTTCCATTTTTCCAAATTTGAGGAGACACTTCTTAGTGAAGGTAGAAAGGAACAAAAATATCTAAAACATTTCTGAAGAAGACTAATGATGTAGGGGACTTGAACTTATTACAAAGCGATACTCATTAACATGACGTGGTAAGAGCAGGAGGTTACACAAGTAAACTGCAGAAACAGAAAACAGAGCCCCAAATAGACCTCATGTGTATGCGGAAATCAGATAAATGACAGAGGTGACATCGCACCACCGTGGGGGAAATGCACTCACACTCCTCAATAAATTGTTCTAGGATAACAGTTGTTCAAAATGAAAAAAAGAAACCAAAAAAGAAATTGGATTCCTACTGCACACTATACGCAGAAATTGGCTCCAGGAAGATTAGGAACTTAAATGTGAAGAGCAGAGCTTTAAAACATTTAGGAAAAAAAAAAATATTGGACAATATATTTGTGACTTGGGGTTAGAAAGAATTTCTTTAAAAAGACGTGGAAGGTGCAACCCATAAAGAAAAAGACCGATGTTAGACTACGTTAAAATTTAAAACTACATCACCCAAAACAAAGTGAAAAGAGGATACATCCAGGGAGCAGATACTTGTCTGTAGAAGTGCAAAAGACTAGTCTGTAGAGAGAAGGACTAGATCGCCTCAGTTCATGCTCGCTGCAACCCCGTTAGAGGGGCTCTGCTTTTCTCCTATTTTTCCAAGTAGAAATGTCAAGGCTCTGAGAAGTAAAGTGACCAGGCTGAGGCCCTACTACAGCCAATGCCGCAGGGCAGCCGCGAGAACCAGGCCTGTCTGACCCCGGATCGCCAGCCTCATTCTCAATTAATGCGGTATCGCCTCGAGCCCGGCTGCACTCAAGGCTCCACTAAATGATCGAACAAACCCAGTGATGAGCAAAGCGGCCAACGAACATGCAAACACACAAACATGTCATTGTGACCTCTCCCGGGATGGGGTGGGGGCTGCAGGGTTCTTGGCTCCTCTAGTAGATCCGAAAGAACTCCCAGGCTCAAAGTGGTAACGTAATAATTTGAGAACGGCAGGCAGTGGATGGGTTTTCATGGGCTGGGTCCCCGAGAGCAACCCATCACACGTCCCCGAGAGCAACTGTGCTAGAAACCACATAGGAGGGAGCCCAGGAGGTCGGCCACGCCAGCCACTCGGGAGGCAGGAGGGTTGTAAGTCAGGGGAAGAAGCAGAGACTCAGAGAGGTTGGACGATGTACCCAAGGTCACACCTCCCAGTAGCCACAGAGCTGTAATGAGCATGCCCATCACCTCAAACATGTGTCACCTCTTTGTGTTGGGAACATTCAAAATCCTCTCTGCTAATGACTTGAAGTCATCAGTAATTCGCTGTTGACTGTGGTCTCCCTGTGGTGCTACAGAACACTGGCTCTTGTTCTGCCTATTTCTCTACAATTTTGTATCCATTAAGCACCGTCTCCCCATCCTCTCACCCCGCTCCCCTTACCCGTTTCTAGGAACTGCTGTTCTACTCTCTACTTCTGTGAGATCAACTTTTTTAGCCTCCACATATGAGTGAGAAGATTACTTAATGAGTGCAGAGTTTGTATTTAGGATGATGAAAAAGTTTTGGAGGTAGGTAGAAGTGAAGGTCACACAACATTGTGAACGTAATTAATTCCATACGATTGTATGTTTTAAAATGGTTGAAACTGCAAATCTTATGTATATTTTACCACAATAAAAAAAATTAGAAATAAAATTAAAAATTAAAAAAAGACTCAACAAAGGCCCTGTTGCTTTGCCCCTAGCCCAGACACTTGCTGATTCTCTCTCTCTCTCTCTCTCTCTCTCTCACACACACACACACACACACACACACACACACACGTCCCAGCTTCCACTGGGGATGAAAGACCCGTAGCAGAGAAGTTGCAAGTCACACTTTATTCACGCTCCGGGAGGTATAGAGGGGTCCTGGGCAGCAGACCTGGCTCCTGGGAAGGAGGAATGATGAGGGGGGCAAAGGGGCACTAGTTGGAGGGGTGGAAAGCACCTCGCTGGTGCCATTGCATGTCGCGGATGCGGCGCACGGATTGCACCTGGGGATGGGGGGCCCCAAAGTCGCTGCTGTCCTTGTAGTCTCCCTTCTCCAGCAGGTACTGCAGCCCGCGGTAGCCGGGGTACTGGTAGCCAACCCACCTGCAGGGCCAGACATGAGGGGAAGTGAAACGGGGGGACAGAAGGAGAAACAGAGAGAGAGAGAGAATCCTTAAGTCATTAGGAAAGGTGAAGCTTCCCAACCCATACACTCTTCCTGGGGTGTTAAGCAGGACGCCCCTTTGCTCCCCACCCTTACAGCATCGAGCCCCTCTTGATGGGAGCACAGCGATGTGTGTGAGACCACCAGTGAGCGCAGGGCAGAGCAGCACTTAGGACCCCCATGTCTGGGCTCCAAGGCAGGGCAAGCTGGGACTGGAAATGCACTCACGTGCCACTCTGCACCCGCACGGATGACACCTTCTCCTGGTAGCCATGGGCATGGAAACTGGGCACATCGTCATCTATGATTTCCATCTTCTTCCCTGTGAAGTTGGGGTTTTCATAGAGGATGATCTTGTGCTCTTGGCTGTCCTGTTGATGGGGGTGGGGAGAAGTGAACAGGGTGAGGGGGCCCAGGGTCGGTCTTCCCAGCCCACCCCCATGCCCCAGAGTGGGGATCAGCACACTTTACACATGACCCTCTGCCCAATGCACCCACCATGTGAGTGCCTATGACAACAGCTGTTGAACAGTGGCCACTTGTCCAGTTTCCACTGAGCCACTTTTACATGAGTTTCTACGTAAAAGGCACTCCCATATTCTACACTTTGGGGAATGTTTGATTCTGAAATATCATTTTTCCTCCCATACCATCAACTTCCTCTTTTATAAGTGGCAACCATGATCTACACAAACCCATACAGACACTTGCACACACAAACACACACACACACATGCACAGGCTTATTGTGCCTCTAGTAGGCCCTTGAGATATTTTGGTTTTCCTTCATCAAGGCCACATCCTCCTGCTCCTGTGACATTTTTCTTAGTTATCTCATTTAATCCT